ATGTCCTCTCGACATAAAGGTACAGGGCAAGAGCCACTTCTACCACCTAGGGGCAATATCACAGTGCCTCCTCACTGGCAGCCACGTGGCCAGCATGATGCAAGCTTCTGTTGTTTCTGGAATGCAGTTCCACAATGTGTTGTGCCTAACCTGCTCAAGAAACTTGTAACTGGTTAGAGCTTGAGGCTACAGCCCTCCTGTCTGCTAAGTGGGCAGGAAAATTGGCAAAGCAGAAAGCATAGCTGGAAACTTTCTGTGGTTAAACATATGCTGAGTATTTCAAGGATTCTGTACTCAAAACTACCCTCACTCCTCAACTCCTCCCCTCAAATAGTCCTGCATTCTAGGTCAAACATGCTTCAAATATAGGTACATTATGAATCAGCTGGTATTATACAATGATCAAGCAGGAGGGACCTTTGACAATATTATGCAATGGAGAGATGACTCTGGAGCCACTATTAACTGTGTGACCTTAAGTTCAAGAATCTAATACTGTGATTCAATGCCTTCATTTCAAAAGTTGAAATGAGGCTTCTCAAGGTTGGTGTAAGGTTCGAATGCAGAATGCTCAGAATAGCAGGTAACATGTTGTAAGTGATGATGCGTTTTTAAATCGTCTTAAAATTAAACTAGTAAATCACATTTTGGGGCCAAGTGACGGGCACTGGCAGTGATGGAGCTGCTGTCCAAGTACAGCTCTCATTGACCTTAGTCAACAGCCCTGCTTGGAGGACACTGACTACATTTTAGGTTTTAAAAGGTATGAACAAGCTGAGCAGAGGTGGCGCACGCCTTTAATTCCAGCACTCGGGAGGCAGAGGCAGGCGGATCTCTGTGAGTTTGAGGCTGGGCTGGACCGACAGCCTCCAAAACAATACAGAGAAACCCTTTTTCGTAAAACCAAAAAAGAAAAAAAAAGTATGAACAGTGAGAAAACTGTGCCTACCAGTTATACACCATGCATATAAGAAACATATTATTCATTCCTTTTAAATATCCCAAATTAGCTGGGTGGTGGTGATTTAATCCCAGCACTTCTAACTTTCAGTAACAGATATCTATAAAAATAACTGCATTGTTTGCCAAAACACAGTAAGTGCAGTAGAGCTATGTAGAGAGAGAAGGCCTTACTATGCAGCCCAGGCTAGCCTACAATGTCTTGGCATCATGAGTGCTAGGATTACAGGTATGTGCCACTAGCATGCCTGGCAAAAACAATACACTTGGATCTTTTATACATGATAGGCAAGCTTTTCCACAGAGCTATGACCCCAGACCTGAAACTGGAAAACTTTATATGCTGCAAGCAGAGTAGCTTGTTAAATTTCACACATATGCACACTTGAGCATGCATATAAACACCCACATCATACCACACCACATGGCCATGGTAAGGTTTCCAAAATGCCCTAGCACATCTGCTGTCTCCAGTCAGATGGATCCTTGTCTCTCCACAGACTCCTGGTCACACTTCACTCCTGTATCACAAATTCTCCCACACTGCCTTCTACTGCAAGCTGTCCTGACCCACATGCCTAGTTAGGCTGACTTACCTTCTGGTCCTAAAGCAGTTTTCCCCAACAGCCCAGACCAACCTCCTAGCTGTCCCCAAGCCCACCATACACATTTAGAACCTTCTTCTAACTAATCCAGTCTTTCTAACTGGCTAGACCGTAGGCACAAGCAGGGCAGGAGAGCTGTCTGCCTGTTCAACATTACTTCCTCTGTTCCTAGCATAGTGCCAATGAACAAGCAGATGGCAAACGGAAACATCATCAGGGGTCGCAAGTGGTAAGAGCATGTATCCAGCAACACAAGGCCTGGGTTGATCCCTAGTATTACAAAAGAGAAATGAATACATTCTTCAAAGATTCAGTAGGTGAATGGATATACTAAAGTTTTCCACTCAAATTCTACACCTCCTTCTTTTTGTTTGTCTGTTTGTTTGAGACAGGGTTTCATTATATAGCTCTGGCTGTCCTGGAACTCACAAAGATTCACCTGTGCCTGCCTCCTGATTAAAAGTGCCTGGGATTAAAAGTGTTCATTACTACACCCTGCACCAGACACCTAGTATCTCTTATCAGGCTTTTCACAAGCAGAAATACACAAGCTACATAAAAGGGACAGGTTATGAGATCTTTTTTGGAGAAAATTTCAGAAGAAACCTCTGGATATGTATTTTAAAGTAACCATATGCAAACTATAAGCAAAAAAGTTCTAAAAATAAGTTTCATATACCACATATTGGGATCACAGAACACAGTAATCACACTGGTGCTGAACCTTATCTCTACTAACTAGCTTTCCTACTGCTGGAAGGTGCCATGCATACTAGTAGGGGAAAAATGCAATCTTCAATCTCACTCAGTTGTGACCCCCTATGAACTACAGTAACGACTGGCATGACAAGATATGCCTACTGGTACAACAGTGGCGTGATGTTATGGACATTACTAATGACTTTCTGGTTGCATCTAAAGCCTGCTCTGTGAAATAGAACCCATTCCCGGCACTGTTAATAGGGTCAAGAATTTGTGATTAGATAGGTGATGGGCCCAAGAGGAGAACCAAGTATTGTTATTCTGATAAACCGGCATAGCATTAAATCAACTTTTAATGACTTATTCCTATACCCATAGATCAGTGCATTGCTTAGTACTTAGCAGAGAACTAGGTCTCTCATCACTGTGGGTAGCACTTAATACTGAGACTCTCAACTGGTCGAGATGCAGACAATTAAGAGACTGAAGTGCTCAGTCCGAAAGGGAACACACATGTCGCACCCTACTCTGAAGGCCAGGGATCTCAGTATAAGAGTAGGTGAAAAGACTGTCAAAACCAACGATGGTGGATAACATCAAGGAAACAAATGTTTTCTGGACACAACAGTTACTCATATGCACTCAGTGATTGTGAAAACATCCACAAGACTTTTGCAAGCTAAAGTCAGACAAATCCCCAGCAGAGTTGGGGGCAGGGCATGAGTTCCCAGTACTGAGGAACCACTGACATTTAATAGTTGTTGGACAGCGAGAGTCAGCTTTCCTTAATGGTATGACCCCTGGCAGGGCCCCTCTGGAGAGTATGTGGGCAACACTAGCTGGAGGAGAAGGAAGAGGACGAGGAGAACCCCACACGTGGAAAGGGTGGCTATAGGAGTGATTAGAGAAGGGGAAGCAGGATGAACCTGATCAAAACAAACTGTGTGACATTCTCACAGAATTAATAACAATGTTTTAAAAACAAAAGTTTCAGAAGAAAAACAGTGGTCATGTCTCCACCAAAGCTCATCACTCACACTCCAACAGCTCTTCGTGGGAGACCAACAAGCAAAAGAGAGCAGAGGAAGCAGGGACCCGTATGCACGACCTTCCTGAGCTACTGCCGTTCTCTTCCCAAGCAAGTTCATTTTCTAATGAAAGACGATGTGCTGGACCACAGCTCTCAGCATATCCACAAGAGTAGCCCGGGCAGTGGGGCCTTAAATGAAGGGCAAGTGGCTTGCAAACCAAAGGAACAAGCAGCAATGACTCCGGCGCCCATCAGGACTCACCCAGGAGTCACTCAACAGTGCGAAGACCCCCTACTCAGGGAAGAAAAAGGTAGACTCCACCTCAAAACAGACGATATGAGCATCCCAGGACAAAAATTCCGGAAGACTCGCCTAGAAAAATTTTATGAGGGTTACAGAAGATGGGGGAATTTTACTACCAAAAATTTCCATACAGAAAGGGGAAAGGAAGAAGGAAATTAAGGTGACGCTGGAGAAGGTGGTGTGTGTGTGTGTGTGTGTGTGTGTGTGTGTGTGTGTGTGTGTGTGTGTTGGGGTGGTCTGTGTGAGAGGAGGAGGGTGAAGTTGACTCAAGGTTTTTTACTATTAAGATGCAGACCTGCTCCTCAGAGTTTAGGACAACCTCAAAAGGAGAATGGCCTGGTCAAGCCTCCTCTCCTCACGTAAGCAGCATGCTAATAGGCACCCAGAATTCAACAAGCTGAAGCCCAGCTTTGAGTGATCCACTTAAAACCTAATCTCTGTGGGCAACACTGGAGATCCTTGCAGTGAAGGCCAGGTCTTCTTAAGGGAAACACCTCCCATCACTCCCTCTGGTAGTGATTAAAGGAAAAAGAAATAACTCAGTGCTAATTACTGCACTATCCAGACAGAGCTTTCAGGTACACGCTGACAGGTGTACTTCGGCCTGTTCAGGGCTGTGACCTTCTCAAAGGTACTGTGCCAACTCTTCCCAGCCCCGGCTGTCCTTACAACAGAACTGTCCCATCTAAGGGCGTGGAAACACCAACTCTAGCTGGGCAGATTTCTGGTTTCTGCATTCTCACTGACACGTTCAACGTTAACCCAAAATTTCAACAATAAAAACTTTCACTTTAAAAACACACCCAGCACAGTTCATGTAGCATGTAATTTATTAAATACTGGCTGCTCAGACGGAAACAATGCTCACTGAGAACCATCTTCACAGTTGAGGAAGAGTTCTAACTTCTAGATAGTTGAGCAAAGTGGCTTCCAAAAGTGAGAAGGGGGCAGGGTGCTATTTTAAGCCATTGTGTCGGACAAGGCAAGGGACACGTTTGCTAATACCTGTATTCATTGTATGACGGAATCTGAAACAAAAGAAATATTCGGAGGAAAAAACAAAGCCGAACGCTAGCGCACACTGGGGGGGGGCTTCGGACTGCGGAGCTAGACAGAGCTCCGCTGCCTGGGTCTGCAGGGGGATGACCCTGAAGGTGCACAGGGAGAGTGTCCGCGTGGAGACTCTAGAATACCGGGGGCTGCCGGCACTCACTCAGCACCCTGCGACTGGCCCAGGGCCCAGGCAAGGCCGCCCCCCTGCCGCCCCCCGCCCAGTTCGCGACATTGAGGTGGACCCCGCGGCGGGCCCGGGCGGCCGGCTGCACCCCAATCTCGGTCCCGGCCGCGGGCCGGCAGAGGGTGCCGCCTGGCGCAGCGCGCACACGGGGCCGGCACTCACCGCTCAGGTAGTTGGTCCACTTGTACAGCACGCCCTCCATGGCGCCCGCGGGCCCCTCGCCGCCCCGGCCCGCCGCGGGGACACCCGGACCGGCCTCACATCCCGGGCCCGGGGGCGGGGTCACCGCGACAGCCGAGGAGCACCAGCCTCTGGTCCGGGTTTCTGCGCCTGCGCCAGGCGCGGTCGGTGTGAACCGGGCGGAGCGGCCGGCCGAGCGAGGCGAGGGAGGCACGGCCCCTGAGGCGACGGTCGCGGGGCGCCTTTACCTCGGCCACCGAGCTCACAGCGCCCGCCCCGGCGCGCTCGCGCATGCCCACTGCGCCGCGCGCACGCTCCCAAATCCACGCCGGCCGAGGTTTGGCCGCCGCGCCGTGGGGCTGGAGGGCGGGGCGCGGATGCGGACGTGGGTAGCGGATCGACCCCGGGTTCTCGTCTCCCTCCGGGCATCCGACTTTCCACGTCAAGATTGTCAGTGTAAGAATGATTCGGGCCGAGGCCCGGAACCCTCGGATGAGGCAAGTCTGCAGCGCGTTTCCGGATGCACTGCAGTGCGCGGCGCTATTCAGCCCGCAGGGCCTCTTGGTCTTTGGACCAGCTGGCCTTGGCTTCACCTGGAGCTCTGTTAAAAATCCAATCTCGCCCGGGTTCTGGACCTTTTGGATCAAAAGTCTGCATTTTTACAAGCTCTCCAAGGGAAGTTCCTATGCACGTGTAAGTGTGAAAATGCACTGTTGATAGCATTTTTTTTTTTGCCAAGAAAGTGTTAATCACAGGTTAAGTGGAAGAAGGTCGAGTATGTAACCTAAATGGCACAGAAACACGCTCTAAAGTGCTAAAGTGTGGGCATTTTCTTTCCCCTTAATGTAAGGTAGACAGGTATAGTAAATAATATATAACTTAATTGGTTATTTACCTGAACTGCACACCTTGCTTAATGCCCTGTTTGCTTTAGGTTTAATCTTCTTTTGGTGATTTCTCAGTTTCCTCTCAGTTCTCTACAATGGGCTATGTCTGAATTTAAGGCAACCTTGTAGAACTGGGAACTTTAAGCTGTGTCATTCTTAAATACTAATGTCGTTTCCTCTTTAAAGAGAGTGTGAAGCAACCTTGTTTCTAATTTAAATTTAAAAATAATAAATAAATATAAAAGAAAAAAGAGATAGATATCCTTAGCCATTATTTACTCTACACTAAGGACATTCAAATGGTGAGTCATTAACAGTCATTAACAGTGATGTTTGTAGAATGAATCAGGTTTAGTCTTAAGGCGGAGCACAAATTCTTCACACCAAGTGACCTTAAACAGGACACTAACTTCTAGCCTCAATGTGTTTATCTTTGGTCCTGGCTAGTTTTACGCCAACTTGACACAAGATAAAGTAATCTGGAAAGGTGAGCTCTGATTTGTCTATAGGTAAGTCTGTGGTGCATTTCCTTAAATACTGGTTGACATGGGAGGGTCCAGCCCACTTCGAGTGGTGTCATCCCTGGGCAGGTGGTCCTGGGCACTAATAAGAAAGGAGGCTGAGGAAGCCAGTAAGCAGCATCCCTCCATGGCCTCCCCATCAGTTCCTGCTTCCAGACTCCCGCCTTGAGTTCCTGTCCACACTTCCCTAGATTATGGACTGTGATATGAAGTGTAATCAATAAAAATCCTTTCCTCCCCAAGTTGTTATTGGTCATAATGTTTTAACCCTGGAATGGAAAGCCTAAGACACCTAAATGGGGAAAATAGCCACGTTAAGTTAGTGGAGATCTTGTACCAGAAGTGCCTTGTGACCCCTAAAGCACCCTTGTTCACCCTTGGAGTTTATGTTCTGAGTTAGTAAGCCACAGTTCTGAGCAATCGTTTGTGTTATCTTGGAGGGGGGTGCTCTTCGGTTGGCTCAGTTGGTGTTCTTCACAAAGGCAAAGCCCTCCCACAAGGAGTTTCCTGTTAGCTAGCTGTGCACCCAGCTGCCCTCCCCAAAGTAGAAGAATTTCTTAACCCGCGGGGCTCTAGGGCTACTCGGGATGGCTGGACCCGGCCTTCTGACCCAACAGGGCACCGAAGCACTCCACTGCTGCAGCGCCATTGGCTGGAGAGGAGCCTGAGTGACAACACCGTCAGCCAGGGGAAGGCAGCCCTTCTCAAGCCTCCGGCCTTCTTAGAGCCAATCGTGTGAGGCTGGGACTTTAACTCTTTAAAGGGGAGTTCGCAGTGTGTGGGAAAGTTGGTAGTAAAAGTGCCACGTCTTCCTGGGAGGGTGAGTGTGAGTCCTGGACTTACCCGAAACCGTCTCGCTTTCGGCATATTTTTAACTCTATGAAGTCGGGGATCCTTTCTCTGCTTTGGTAACATGAGGTTTTTCTTATGGAACGCGATCTTGACACTGTGGGTCAGCGCTGTGAGTGCAGCTTTGATCCCTGAGCCAGAAGTGAAGATCGAAGTTCTCCAGAAGCCTTTCATCTGCCATCGCAAGACCAAGGGAGGGGACCTGATGTTGGTTCACTACGAGGGCTATTTAGAAAAGGACGGCTCTCTCTTTCACTCCACGTAAGTAATTATGCCTCGAGGGCAGAACGATAAAGGACCGACCCAGTCACACCAGCCCTCCTATTATAAAACTAACAGTTCCTTTACCGCTAAAAACAGAAACCAAGCACTGAAACATCTGCCTACCTTTGGGCAGAAAATTGTCAAAAGCCAGTTCTAGAGAAGAAGGCCTTGAAAGGACTTTCTGGAAACATACAGTCTTGATAAGTTAAATTCTTTATAATTTTATTCTTTATAAAATTAAATATAGAATATTTGAATTTTTACAGAAATACATAGTAGTTATAATTAAGCGGAAGTGGAAAAGGCTTAACAGAATTTTCTGTCTCAAACCCCAATCCTTAGGTAAAATATCTGATTCCACTTTTAGTTGGGCATAAGAGACATTAAAACATACCATTTTTGCTTCAAGAGCAAAATGCACAAACATCTATTTGTCCACTTCTAGAAGATGCACAAATGCTGTTTCGTTGACCTGTCTAACTTTTTGGCAGGTGACACATTGATCAAAGCACAGGATGGTGATTTCAGGAGTTGTTCTTTCTTCTAGAAAGTCAGACTTCATTGACGGAGTGGGTGTGGTTGTAGAAGTCATCGTGGAAGGGTTTCCAGGTGCTTGGCAAGGCGGCGGAATGTCCGCAAGTGCAGTGATTTCCATTCTGAAAGTATTTAAGGAGCCCTTCCTTAGGCACATTCGGGAAGTTCACCTCCTCACCACCTGCTGCCATTCATTTGTCCAGCCTGTGAAACACTCATTCAAATCCCCATTTCAGGTCCAGGAGATGCAACGTTTACTAAAAGCAAGTCCTGGCCCTCCAGCAACTCTCCACGTGCGGGTGGGGTGGGGAGGGGGGATGGGAAAGGGCTCAATGGGTGGAGATGTTCAGAATGTTCAGAGCACTGGCAAAGCATGGGGAGCCTGTGGTGAGTGTGCTGGGGGGGGGGGGAGAAGAGGCGTTCATAACAGAGAAGCCTGGAAAGTGATGAATGGAGCTCATCCAGGCACCCCTGGAGGGGGAAGACTTTGCAAATGAGGGAATCATATGAGCTAAGCCTGAAGCTTTAGTTCAGCTCAGGTGCTTAGATTTTTGTTTTGGTAAACTGCTTTGAGACAGGGTCTTTTGTGAGGCTTGAGGGTAGTGAGCGACACTTCTCACTGGATACTGCTGTAGTAAAAATTTCCAAAAACAGGCAGGCGGTGCATGCCTTTAATCCCAGCACCCAGGAGGCAGAGGCAGGTGGATCTCTGAGTTTGATGCCAGCCTGGTCTATAGAATGAGTTTCAGGACATGTTCCAAAAGCTACAACAGAGACATAGAGAAATGCTGTCTCAAAAAAACTAAAAAAAAAAGTTTCCAAAAGCAGTTATAGATTTGTCCTTGCCGATAAGGCCAGTGCATTGTAGTTAGTAACCAATATTATGACATCGCACTTCAAAACCTCAGTTACATTCTTGCTTTCAGTCTGATCTCTTTCTTATCTAGCCTAATTTCTTTCCCATCTCAGGGCCAACAGCCTGTGCAGATATTTTGTAGCAGTTCACTGCTAATGTTCTGGTACTTGGGAGGGAGACTGTTGTCATGCAGCCTTCATGTAAAATCTAAGGCCTGGCTAACTGGACATGTTGATAACAAAGAAATATCATTAAATAAGCCTGCAAAGAGCATTTTGCGTTACCAGGACCATCATCTGCATGATGACTTGTAATAAGAAATGTGACCAAAAGTACTTAGTGAAAATGATTGCTGCTTCTCCATTCTTTATGCCCCATGATCTTGAGGGAACATGCAGTAAAAGAACAAAGAATGCCATTTACCCAGATTTTGTAACCATAAGCCTAGCACAAGGACATTTTGTTCACACCTAAGCGTTATCCTGGAAATAGGGCGCTTTCCTTGCTCTCTACTGATTGAACTAAACTGGTCTCTGGTTGCTAGGATATCTTCTTGTTCCTTTCCTGTCTAGAACCTGAGGGTCTACTGCTCCAGGATTTCTGAGTAGTCCCATAGTAGATCTTTGGAGAGGGTCTGCTGAGATTCAGGGTGAAAGCAGCTCTTTCCATGCATCAGAGCCACCAGTAAACAGTACATCAGCAAGGCTTGTGGATAGGAAGTGAGATCATCTTATCTCGGTGTCTGGGTGCAAATGGACTTTCACATTTTAGCAGTAGCTTTCCTAGCCTTTTACCTCCCTTCTCAAACTCAAGCCATGCCCTGAGATTTTCCTTGGTCTGTAGCCCTCCTGGGAAAGTATAACTTTGTCACTAAGACCTTGAACTTACAGGTTAGGTATATCTGAAATAAAATACTAGTACACTTAATTTCCATTTTCTCTGTAAAAAAGGTTAATACTGGTGTAGCTGGCCCTCTCTGTCTGCAGGTTCTGTGTCCCCCAATTAAAATCAGGATCCAGAATATTTGAAATATGTATATATGTATGTTTTGAACTTATGCAGACTTTGTATTGTCATTATCCAGTATAATGACTTTTATATAGCATTTACATTATAGTATGCATAATTGAAAGATGGTTTAATGTATACCGTAGGTTATATGCAACTACTGTAGATTTGAACTCCTTGTGGTTTGAGGGACAGAGGATCAAATCATGGGGACAATCTTCCAAGAATACCTATCAATAACAGGATTATCATTGAAGTTATAGACAAATTTTCAATAATAATTGCTTTAAGGTACATGTTCAAATTAATTATTTTTTAGTATTTCCTCTACCCTTCTCAAGTTGACTCAATTTATGAATTTTGCATCAAGAAAAATGGGCAGGGGATTGAATTGCTATGAAGTAGACTTGTGTGTGTGTGTTTCCAATCCAAAATTTGCTGTTTTGTTTAGTTTCTAGGTTCATAAGCTTAACCACTAATGGGTAGGAAAAATGAGGCACAACAATGATCTTTATTTTAAATTCACTAAAAGCATCTCCAATGTATGGAGTGTTTATCTAGCATTCATGGGACTCCAGCTTCAATTCCTAAAGTCACTAAAAGTATCTCTAATGTATGGAATGCTTACCTAGCATTCATGGGACAAAACATAATTATTTGAATTCTGATGTGTTTTCTTTCTGGTAGTCACAAACACAACAATGGTCAGCCCATCTGGTTCACCCTGGGCATCCTGGAGGCTCTCAAAGGCTGGGACCAAGGCTTGAAGGGGATGTGTGTGGGAGAGAAGAGAAAACTCATCATTCCTCCTGCCTTGGGCTATGGAAAAGAAGGAAAAGGTAAAATTGTGTAACCATCACTGCTGCGCGTCTCTGAATGTTTCCTCTTCCCCAAAAGGAAACCCAACACTTTAACAATGCAACAAGAAAGGCCATCCCAGAAAAAGCGTCCTGATGATTCGAATATTTGAAATATACACCATTTGGATACAATTTGATGTGTGGATATAATCAGCCAGGAAGTCTTTCACACTGTAGATCTCATTGAGAGTCCTTTTATTCTTGCTTTTAAACATATTTGTAACATTTTCAATAGTTTATTTTAATTTTGCTTATTTATTTTTGTGTTTTCAAGACAGTGTTTCCCTGTTAGCCCTGGCTATCCTGGAACTTGATCTGTAAACCAGGCTAGACTTCTAACTCAGAGATCTGCCTGATTCCACCTTGTGGCTGCTGGGATTAAATGGTGTGCCACCATTGCCCAGCTCAATAGTTTAAGATAATGCATTAACTTGTATTAAAAATAATTCTCCCTGTGTTGCAAGCTGACTGGCTAGTCCACACAGCTTTTATGCCAGTTTGTTCCAAGGCACAGATATACCTGGTAATTAAGCTGAGTTCATATGGCTCTCCAAGGGCTGCTTGATGCTTATCAGCTGTCCCCAGATGTAGCCTCTTCACTGAAATCTTCTCTGAGCTGATGACCAGACCTGGAGACAGGTTAGTGAACCAGCATGTGCACCACTGTGTTGTTTCTTATATTAAAACAATTGGAACCAACCCAAATGTGTTATCAGAGGTTGGCAAAATAAAAATTACATATGAATTATGTGTGATGTAAAAAGATTTTCTGTATGTCCAGCTTTCCCCATGAATAAAAGTGGGGGAGTATATGAGCATTGGAGTGTTCCACAATAAAAAAATATTCACAGTATACTGTGATTCTAGAATTATATTAATTTCTAGTTCTATCTTCCAAATTCTTTATGAAGAAGACTGTAGTATTTATACAATGAAGAAAAAAATTATAAGAAGCTATCAGAAGCAGGTGGAGAGTCACTCTCATGTGGTTTGGATAACTTTACCACCATTCTTCAGCAAGCGTAGCCATTGACCAAGGAGGGGTCAAGATTCCTTCCCCAGAGTGCCAGCCTACAATCCTATGGCCAGAGAGTCTGGGAAACAGAAACTTCATTTAGTGGCTGATCGAAGAAGAGGCAGACTCCCTTGGTTAAGTACTGAGCTGAACTCAAGAAAGCCAGTAACAGAGAGGGAGGACTGATGATCAAAGGGATTAAGACTGGGCTGGTTTAACCCCCAGAAACAGCTGACCAGACAAAGGTTAACTCTTGAATCCCAGGCATCAGCCTGGGAATCCAGCATGGGACTGATCAAGACCCCCTGAATCTGGGTGTCAGTGAGGAGGCCTAGGGAATCTATTGAGCCTTGGGCAGCAGATCAGTACCCATCCCAAGTATACACACGGACTTTGGACTCCCATAGAACAATGTGAGGTGCACTCTCACCCTGAACTCTTGGGGAAGGGTCTAGGCCCTGCCCTATATGAAATGACAGACTATGGACACCCCCATGGAGGGCCTCACCCTCCCTGGGGGAATGAGGAGATAAGGGGGGGGTTGGGGGGAGGGCACGGGAGGAGGGGAGGGAATGGGAGAGGGACCTGGAACTGACTTGTGAAGCAACCTCGTTTCTTATCTAAATTTAAACTGGAAAATAAAATATATATATAAAAAAAGATTCCTTCCCCAGTTTTCCAAGGAGGTTAAGCGCTGTATATAAATATGATGTACTCCAAAGTAGGACTAGCTATCTAAGCCATGTTCTACAGGCTTGGTTATTTAACCAAATTCAATTCTAATTATATCTTTTACAGAAAGATACAGTAGCTAGGAAAAGTTTCTCTAATGTCCAGATGTGATCTATCTTTCCTGTGTCTTTGTTCTTTTACTGTTAACTTTATGTGTGCAGTGAGGTAGCAATTGTCCATGACATACTTAACTAAGCTTACTCCTTAGCATGCAGAGTCCTTTCCTTCAGTGTCATGAAACTAACTCTTCTAATATGTATTTGCCACTAGTTTTGTAGCGTTTAGTGCACGCTTGCATGCCTCCTTGGAAAGACCAGCTTTCCCACCAACCTAGTGCATGCCCCCTTCCTGTCTCCATCACAAAGGTAAGCTCTGCCTCATGCTGTGAGTGTTGTCCTCTTAGAAACTTGCTACTGCACTTTCATGGAACTTTGAGGAACTGGGGACATAGCTAAGGCTTGTTTAATGAATGTGTTCAGACCAGAACTTTTATTAAACAGAGCTGTAAGAAAGCAAGTTTGGAAAACAATTGCCCAAAATTCCAAGAAGGGTTTGTTTCTTTGAGTATTAGTCGGGGTTTTTTGTTTATACCCTGAGATTTTAACAAAGTTTTCTTCTTTTCCTTACTCTTGAAGATTTGTTAGTTTCATTTACAGGAGTTGATCTAGATTTTCCTTTCTTGATGAAACGTCCTCAACAAATGCTTAAGTTCTATGTCAGGGAGGTAATTTTCAATGTTCCCCTATTTTTTTAAGACCGGTAAGAAAATTGTATCAGGCATTTAGTGTTTATCAGGAATAACAGTGAGGGTTTTTTTTTTTTTTTTGCATGGGTTTTCCCCCTTTATCCTTCCCATGGACTCCTAAGGTAGAAAATGTTATCGCTCTCTTTTTGCAAACAAGGAAGGAGGTGGCAGAAGGGACCAGAGCGCACACTAGTATACACTGCCTCCTAGTGGCATAGACACTGCCTCCCAGTGGTAGACACAGCAGCACCAACCTGATGTACTTGAAGGTCAAGACTTTGTAATCTAAATTAGTAAATCTCTTGTAATATAATTAAGTCTGAATTACTCAAAGCCCTTTAAAAGTCATGTTGTTGGCATGTTACATGAAGGGCCTTAATTGTACTTGAAATTTAGCATCAAGACTCTTAGGAACATGCATGTATGCATGTATTTTTTATTGCTACTCCAAACTAGAGTACTTTGCTCTGTCAGTTTGGGTTATTCCTTCTTTTGGTCTATTTTTCTTTCCTGGGTAAAGTGTAGTTATAGAATAAGTGATTTCCACCATCTGTGACAGTCATAGAGTGTCTGTTCATTTAATGTAGTTAAAATGTCTGTTACCATAATTGATTTTGTTATGAATACTTATAGATCTTCTAAATAAAAAATTCCCTGTCTTTCCATATCAGGCAAAATTCCCCCAGAGAGTACACTGATATTCAACATTGACCTCCTGGAGATTCGAAATGGCCCAAGGTCCCATGAATCATTTCAAGAAATGGACCTGAATGATGACTGGAAACTCTCCAAGCATGAGGTGACCCTACCCTCTGCCTCCTTGATGTTTTTCATGTACTTTTTTTCAAAGCTCACCTTTTCAGAAATACACTAGCTGTGGGAGAAGGAAAATCAGTTTCCTTCAATGGCGTGGCACTGGGTATGTTAGTCACACTCCAGAGCAGGACCCATGTGCAGGAGTAGTGAGTGGTCAACACAAAATGGACTCCATGGGTTTCAGTGACTTTTTTCTTTTTAAGAGAGAGAAGGAACATGAAATTGGGTGGAGGGGGGAATCTGAGAAGAGTTGGGGGTTGGAAAAATATGATAAAATTCTTAAAGAATAAATAATAATAAGGGAAATGTATTTTTACTTTGATAAAATACAATTTTAGCTTTCCCTAAAGCACCTGGAAAGTTGCCTTTTTTGTAGGAACCGTTGCTTTGGGGAGAACTGTGCTGACTGAGAAAGTGTGTCCAGTCTCTTGCCACTTCCTTCTCCGCCTATGCTCAGTGTTGACTCCATCTTAACTTCACCCTTGGATCTTGGGAAGCATCCTTTGTTTCATGACTGGTCCAAACTGGTGATGTGGGGATGTGATGATAAACGATGATATGGTTGGGTTGTATTTTAATGATTCATGGGGATTGCAGGGGATTGCAGGCAGCATTTGTGTGTGTGTGTGTGTGTGTGTGTGTGTGTGTGGTTTGTATACATGATACAACCTGCAAGTGTTCAGTGTTCAGTGTATACACCCATGAGTGTACATACACAGGCCAGAAGAGCAGAACATTGGTGTTTCCCCCTATTGCTGCCTTCCTTCTTGCCTTGAGATTCTTACTGAACCTTTAGCTAGGCTGGTTGGTTAGCAAGCTCCTGAGATCTCCCTTTTTCCTGTCCACAAAGCTGAAGTTACAGGCACATGCACTTTCTATTGTGCTGGGGATTTGAACTTGGGCCCACATGTTTACACAGCAAATGGTCTTATCCACGGAGACATCTCCCCAGTCCTTGATTGTTTTGAAAGACAATAGAAAATTATAGCATAGGCACTCATAAGACTCTGCTCTGATTTTGAAGTTTACAGGGTCCTGATTAGACTCTGCTAGTGTGTCATGGTCATAGCCAGGTACACAATTTTTCTACTCGTAGCCATGGGTTCAGATGAAAAGGGAGACTATAATCTTATCTTAGGAGGAATGTCTGGAATTCTGGCTCTTCCTAGAAAGAAAGCCCGATGAAACCAGTGTGTCCAAAGGCAGCCATCCTTCAGGCATGCAGCACAGCTTTGTTTGGATTCTGGCAGGAGCAGGCAGTATGGTCAAGGAATACAGCTACAGTATGATTTGTCCCAGTGGCCACTCCGTAGGCCATGCTGCCACTTGTGCTCTCTTTGTTAGTTAGACACTCAGAGAAAGCTGTTCCTTGGCAGCATTTTTTTTTACAAAGTTCTGGTTATTTGCAGTGAATTTTGGAGAAAGGTTTATTGAAGAAATACTTCCAGGCCCTCTGGGAAGAATACTGGAAGTTACAAAATATTTTTTACAACTGTAATACAAGCATTAGGTGAACTTAAGACAAGCTCTTGTCACCATTTGACTTGTTGCAAGAGTTTCTATGACAGGGCCAGAAAAGCAATGATTTCAGGCACCCATACACATGTTTTGGGGATCCAAGAGTTTTTCTTCAGTGAATGCATGAGTACAGTTACTTTAGACATCCAGAGGCAAGAAGATCAGTCAACCTTGTTTACCACCATTCTTGATTCTCTTGAGAATATGAGTCTTCACACAGAATGCTGTGTCAGTGGGACTGTACTCTGTGGAGTTAATAAATACACGAAGAACAGTAATAAATGTAATTTAAAGACTATTGGTGTATAATCCAGGAGTTTAAAATGCTTATAGATGAGAGACAAGGAGATAGCTTTCAGTGAAGTACTTGCCATTCAAGCATGATGACTTGAGTTCCAGACCAAGAATCCAAGGTGGGAAAAAGTTGGATATGGAAGTGTATACTTGTAATCTCCCAGCTGGCAGGTGGAGACCAGCAGATCTCTGGAGATTGCTAGCCTGTCCAAATGGCCTACTCTGCAGTTCCAGGTGAGAGACCATGTCTCAGAAAATAAAACTCTGAGAAGTGGTATCCAAGAGTCCATATACATGCATGCACACGTGCATACAACGTCACACGAACATGCAAATACACTTGACAACTAACACAGATTTAAATGAGCTGTTAAGTAAACATTCTTAAGTTAAATGTTGACTTATTAATGTGAAACTATAAGAATGAAAGTGAAGTAATTCAGCTTCAAACAAGCAAACGGGCTGGGGAGATAGCTCCGTGCGTTAAGTGCTTGCCATGCAGTCACTGAGTTGGGATACTTAGTACCATGCAAAAAGTGGAGTGTGGTAGTGCATGCCTGCAGTCCTGGCACTGGGGAGGCAGAGACAGGGAGCTCCCTGCAACTTGTTAGCCAGCCAGATAGCAATCTGTGAGTCCCAGGTTCAGTGAGAGACCGCTTCTCAAGCAATGAGGGATAAGAGAGTTGAAGGGACACACACACACACACACACACACACACATTTTTTAAAAAGGCAAAAAGGAAGATAATAGGTTTTAATAAAATCCTTATATTTGATACAAAGATTATGTATCTGTAAGTATGTGTGTATATATATATATATGTATGTGTGTGTACATATATATGCATGATATAAGCATTATTTTCACTTCTGAAAGCTATTTGGTGTCGCCATCATACCCATGAATCAAACATTGTTCTAATTCCTTTAGGAAAGGGCCACAGAGTTGTTTTGTACTTGCTCCATATCGTCGCAATGATGTAATGTGGATTATTAATGAGAGCTGTTATTTTGTAGGTTAAAGTGTACCTAAAGAAAGAGTTTGAGAAGCACGGTGCGGTAGTGAATGAGAGTCACCATGATGCGTTGGTGGAGGACATTTTTGATAAAGAAGATGAAGACAAAGATGGATTTATATCTGCTAGAGAATTTACATATGTGCACGACGAATTGTAGGGATGCGCCTGCCGTTTTATATGCATCCATCAGATGGCACCTTTAGAGAAAGTTGTAGTTTTTAATAACAGCATTCTGTTCTTGTATTGTTTGTTTTTAGTTGTGTATCATTTTCTGCTATTTAAGAAGCCCCATAGACTTTGTAAATATTGGATCTTTCTGGTGAGTTATTGGGAAGACACAGTCATCTTTGAGTGGAAGACTTCTGGCCCATCTCCACTCTCAGATGAAGCTTCTTTTCTTGCTTCCTTCTAATGGTAAGGTATTGCAGCTGGAAACATGCCACAACACAAGAACAGGCGGCTGCACAATCAACGCCCTATGCTTTCCTCTTCCTCTGCTTCCTCTAAGTTAGATTACTGACATATCTGAAAGCTTTTACAATAGTGCAGGGCTTGCTGCTTTCATGTGATAACGAAGTAGTTTTTTCTTTATCTGGCTTTGAGTCTTTGCTTGAGGAGGCACATGGTGGGCCTCATTCCTTAACAGTTACGGCCTTACTATAGAGATGTACAATGTTGGATGAATAATGGAGTTAGCAACTCATGAATAGGTATGCATTGAAACATTCTGCCAAGACTTCATAGGGACTGATGGCTAGTAAAATAAGTCAGACATGTAATTTATGTGTTTGCTTCCTTGTAATCAATGCTTCAAAACATGGCAGACAGGTGTATTTATAGTCAATGTTTACTTTTAAGGTTACCAATTTGCCTCCTGGTTCTTCGTGAATGAAGTTACAGCTAGTATATTACTTTGCAATAACCCTGAATCACAATAGAAGTTAGTAAATCAACTAGACTTTTCCCATTTATGACTCATCAAAAATGAGGTCGGCCTATACCAGCTATTACCAATACTTATCGTGGGTTTGAAAGTTGATGTTTATCATTTTGTCTCAAATTTATCTAAAAAGGATCTAATTCTGTTTTTAAAATTGATTTTAATCACATTGGCTGTTACCTTAAATACTTAAAATAGACTATCCAGATCTCCATTTGTTAGTAATAGTTTTTCATAATTTATAAAAATGGATCAAGTGCATTGTTGTCTGACTCTTGTTCTGACACCCATGGGAAGCCGCTGCATCTTATGATACCTCTTTATGGATGAGAGGTGCTGCTTGGAGCTTGGCTGGTGAGAGTGCCCACGATGGTGGTTAAGCTGTAGATGCATCTTCAGTCCCTGAGTTCACTTTTCTGCTTTTCTGCTGAGGAAGAAGCAGCGAGTTTGGTGTATCTCTTGGTCCGTTTCCCTTTGCATCTTTACCTCTGCAGACGGTTCCTGGTAGGTCACAGCTCTCCTCGGGATTCAGGAATGTCTGTGTAGAATTCTCGTAGAATACTTTTCACATTTGCTCTGATTGCCTCAGTCACCCTCCCAGTGACCAGTCAGAAGCGTCAGATGTCTGTCTTGGCTCACCCATTCCTGTCACCTCCTGTTGCTTGTGGAAATTAGATTACTTCACTAATTATGCAGTGACACTTTCCTCACCAAAACCTCTTATTGGGGAGAATATACTCTAAGACCTGCTCTTGAAGCTGTCAGGTATAACTGTAAAGTGGTTGTCAGTACCGGCAGTTCTCTGGACTGGGGAGGTTGTGAGAAGGCTTATGACAGTCACGAGAGGACAGTCTTGAAGACTGCTTTGCACTGAAGCTGCTGCCACCGTCTGTGCTGGAGCAAGAATCCTGGTTATTCAATTGTATAGATCTGTATCAGTCCTCAGCTAAACAGTCAAACAAGTGTGAAAGAAAGACAAATCAGTAACAATGGTTGTTTGAGCCATCTGCCTTTCTGTCTAGCAGTATCTTTGCACCCTCCCATGAGCAGGAATAATCAAACACTGTGACTTCACATGTATGTCATTTGACTCAGAACTCTTCTATGTGTCATATTTACATTTCTATTGTGTCATATTACAATTCTATTGTGATATTCTTTTTGATAATAAAGTTTATTTGGGAAATAATTGGTTTTGTAAAAAATGTTTTTCATATGTACGCATGTTTGGTGTTTGTATGTGTATTCACATATGTTGGGGTCACAGATGTGTGTGTAGGTGCAGGTGTCTTTCTTGATTTTTCTTCCTACTCTATGGAGGCAGGATCTCTCACAGAACCTGGAGCTCTTCATTTTGGCTATCCAGCTTGCTCCAGGAGTTCTGTCTCTACGCCCCGTGCAGTGGGGTTACACCTAAGCCGCTTTGCCCACTGACCTTTTTATGTGGGTTCTGATGTGCAAGGCAGGTGCTTCATCCTCATTCCCCTCAACCCTGATTTATGAAAATATTAAATGAGCTTTGCAGTTTCCTCCCTCTCTCCCAGTGTTTCCCATGCTGAGCCCCTGACCTACACCCATAGTTCCTCTCAAATATGATTCTAGGTTTCATGGTAGAGTGCCAGAGACGGATAGTGGCAGGAGAGGGGCGGAGTGATGCAGTCTGTCTCTGGGCAGCTGCTCTGTTGTGTTTGTCATGAAAGCTATTGCTTCAAATTAGCATTAAACCTTCAGCACTAAGGGCAGTAGTTGATAGTGAGTGTCACACTGGGCTTATGGCTAGGGGAAGACAGAAGGGTGGGTGTTGTCACTGTTGTTTAGGTTTGGCACTTGATTGTGTGTGTAGTAGGTAGACATGATTTCTCCCTATTGAGTAAATTAGTGTTATCAAATGCCTTATGTGATTACATGGAATGCCTGAGCTGAGACAAATGACAAGAAGCAATGATTTCTGCTTCAGATGAAGCAATTAGCTGTTTGGATTTTTTGCTTGTGCAAATGAACTGCACTTGTTCATGAAGTAAATTGCATCCATGGTGCTGTTTAGAGTTCTGCATGCTCCCTCTCTTCACAGAACTAAACATGTGGGGGGGATCTTGGTGTTTGAATATTCCAAGAGGGGAAAGAGTTGATTTGATGACATGTTATAGGAAATTCCTCTCACCTTTTATTTAAAAAGAAAGTTAGCACTGTCATGAAAACCCTAGGGAAAAATAACTCCTTTTCCAAAGATATAGAGCCCTTATAGGTGGTCTTTTTGGTTTGATTTCTGCTTTTTTTTACCCACTTTAGCTTGAATTGCAATCTAACTCGTCAGCTATTCTTTTACATGTATATGCCTATCTAAAACGTGTATGCCTTGTACAGGACCTTCCTGAAGCCAAACTGCTGCAATCTTCCAATGGGGCCTGCCCACCAAAGATCATCAAAACCGGACTTGTTGACTGTTCCCTACCTTCCCTTTTGGAAGGATGGGGCAGGAGGACGATGAGACCCTCCCCTGACTATCCAGCCACCACCCCTAACAAGTTGTATGCCATTATAACCTAACTGAATGCGTCCTTGGCGTCTCTGGGAGGGGCTAGCGGATAAAGGTTGGGAGGATGAGGGGAGGAGGTTTCATCTATGCAGTTTGCAAAAGCCATCCTGCTAGGTGCACATCTCCAGTGTGGCTGCTTTAAGGTCGTCATGCTCCTGCCTGTAGCCCCTCACCTGTTGCTTCTAAGCCAGTCTAATGAACTCACTGGTACCCAGGTGAACTTTGATGGAATCTTACCTCAGGTTGTCACTGGGTCTTTAGGAGGAGGGTAGATGCTCTGTATGTCTCTCACCAAGGGAAGGAAGTTTAGCAACATGATTCCCTCTCTGGCTATCTGTAGTATTCATATGAATATGATTTCTGCATTCCCTTTAGTAGAATAAAATTCACAAACTAACCTATATAACAATATGAGTTAATATGAGTTTGTAGTGTATTTGATGGGGCATTATTTCTCTTCTGTCTTGGGGTAGGGTGGAGGGACAGCTGAGCAGAAGAATACTTTTCTGGCATGTGCAGGGTCTTGGATTCTATCTCTGGAACCACAAAGAGTTATACAATGCTGTTTGTCTGCCTTCCCTCTTTACTCCTGTTCCCTCAAGTTCCTTGCTTCAGAACTGCAGAAAGAGCCTGGTTTCAGAGCTCAGTCATCAATATGATGAAAGGCACCCTTGGTTCCTACAGGTGGCAGGAATCTAATGATGGTTCCTTCCTTTGGAGTGCATTAGAATCATATGTTGCATTTTAAAAGTAGCCATTGCTGATTCCTCTCCTCAGGAATTCTGATTAATTCCTGTATCTGAATTTGTGTTTAACCCACCTTGGCTAGCTGATCCCAATGAAGAAAATCCACAAACATTAGCTGGAGACCATGAACTTTACCAGATCCCTGCTCTTGAATGTTGACTAGATCTTTGTCCCCTACGAACAATTTTTCTCATATTTAGAAAGCAGTATTCAGATAATTGTCCTGAGAATCAACAGATAGCCCAAAGGATAAGCTATGAAGAGTTACTATTTTCCCAGAGCTAAAAATATGTTCTAAATTTCTAAAGTGAAATTTAGATGGCCAGGGAGGGAAAAAAAGAGAGAAATGATCAGAAAATGCTTTTGTGAGCATCTTCCCTACAATTTCCTGAAATTACTCTTTAACATTCTTTTTGAAATTATCTACAGACCACATCTCTAGGAGAAGGTATAGTCAGAATAACAGAAAAGGAAATTGTTCTCTTAATGTGGGGTGTGTATGTGCATGTCTGTGTATGTGTATATGCATGTGTGTACAGTATGTGTGTGTGTATGATTGTGTAACATGATGCTAAAAAGTATAGGACTTGGAGCATTTGGGCTTTTCAGGCTAGGGATGTTCAACTGGTAAAGACTTTGGAAGTGTTTTTAAGATTTCTTTCTTTTTATTTTGTGTGTATGTTGGTGTGTTTTGTCTGCATGTGTGTCTGTCTATGCACCAGAAGTATGCCTGGTACCCTCAGAGGTTAGAAGAGGCCATCAGATCTCCTGGAACCGGAGTTGGAGTTGCAGACCCTTGTGAGCGACCAACCACATGGGTGTTGGGAACCATACCTGGGTCCTCTGGAAGAGCAGCCAGTGCTCTTAACCACTGAGCCATCTATCTGCTCAGCCCCTTTACAATGACCCATAAACGCTGAAATAACTCCAGATCTAAAGCATTCCAGTAAAGGATACCCAACCTGTAAAGTGAAACAAGCACGGCATTTAATACCCAATGTGATAATGGACTCTTTGTACATGATTCCTGCTCTCTGAAAATGTGTCCTTATTATACAGTGAAAATTCCTTGTGTTCCTTAGCATCTATCATTCCATACTTAGCCTATATTTCTGTGTTTTAATCACACATAAACTATGCTGGAAGCAGTTGTTTTCCTTCTGATTCCAGCAATCACTTCTCTCCCTTAGCTGGAGCTGCACTGAAGGGAGTGATTCCTGCTTCACTGACTTAGATTATTGCCAAACAAAGGGTTAAAAACATTTGGAACATTAATTCACTAAGCAATCACAGGGGAATCTTTGTTTACCAGTTCCCTGTGTTCCTGTGCTGCTGGTAAAACTTCTGATATAAAATGGATGGCACAGGGCATTGAGTCAGACAATAATATATAAGCCAACCTTAAGTGCTGCAAGCTAGACTAACATCAATTTTGCTTTATGGTCTGAAGAGAAATGACACGAGACCTTTGATGAGTTGTTTTGTCTCTCCCCACCTCCAGCAATTCAGAGTAAAGTAAATGAGGTCTCTTTAGTCTCTGGTAACAACTAAATTATCCCCCACTCTGGTGACAGCTAAATTATCCCCCAGTAAGGGATTTCTGGGAATTTATAAGCCATTTCATTAATTGGAAATTCCATGCTGTAGTAGGAAACAGATAATTTCTTCAGTAAACAGTTGCAGTAAAATGGTTATGAGCACAATGTAAAGCGAGATACTGAGGGCCAATTTCATTATCACAATGAAGGAAAGGGTACAGACTCCCTTCATGGTAAGTTCTAACTTCTTATATAGCATTTTCATTTATTTGCTGGCTTCTATTCTTGCAATTTGTGTGCTATGCTTGTGTAACCCCAAGTCTGCCTCTTGCCTCTGGCTAGGAGATCGGAGTATAATGGTCCCCTCTTTATTTATGGCTCCTTCTCATATGATCATGTATGTGTGTTCTGCAATTGTTGTGCAGTTATTTTTCTGCCAAATGCAAACTGTTCAAGGGAATTTTCGGGTAGCCCTTGAGCAGCTAAATTTAGTTAAGTCAACAATTAAATGGGGCTCGGTGAATAAAATGCTTAATGTGCAAGCCCGCAGAACTAAGTTTGGTATTCAAAACCCATGTGAAGGTGTAGTAACATAAGCATATTTGTAGCACCAGCATTAAGAGAGAGCAGAGACGGGTAGATTCTGGGGGCTTGCTGCAGCCAGTCTAGCCAAAAGGGTCAGCTCTACATTCAGAGAGAGACTATACCCTCCAAAAATAAAGTGGGGAGCAATAGAGAAAGATCCAAAGTTGACCTCTGATCTCTACACCCGTATACAGTATAGATGTGCAGGTGCAGGCCACCACCACCACCACAACAACAACACACACACACACACAGAGAGAGAGAGAGAGAGAGAGAGAGAGAGAGAGAGAGAGAGAGAGAGAGAGAGAGAGAGAGAGAGAGAGAGAGAGAGAGAGAGAGAATCATGATTAAACTGTGGAGAATAACTAGGAGAAATAACAGGAGAAAACTAAGATTTCCCTTTAAGTAAGGTAACATTTTACATGCAGAGAAACTTTGAAAAGATCTTGCGATAAAATTCTCATCTGTAATTCGTGAGGATCAGTGTTAGTTCTCCTGTCAATGTTCCTTGAGAATTATTTACTGAAGTGTCCCCCACTATTGTTTTGGCTGAATTTTATAAGGTACCGTCTTCCACAAGATGCCCTACTTTTTTCTTGCCTCCTGTGGCAGTAGCCAAGGTTTTCTGCTTTGTGTCCTAGTCTTTAAAGAGAATTAAGCAGCTTGCTGGAGTTAATTGATTCTTACATTAAGACTGAGCAGTAAATCAACTCTGCTTGAATTTTTTTTCTAGCATGTTATTGCTATGGCAACAATATCTCCAAAGTTATTAACCCTTCGTGG